CCTTTCGGGCGCCGGTCTTAATCCACACGTCGTACACACCGGCCGGAAATCCGCCCAATTTCTGGACTTCAGTGTCTCTGAGGTTGAGATCCCCTCCGAATATGACAGTCGATGCGCTGTCCATTTGCGACATCTCTTGAAAGGCTGTCCGCAACTGTTGCACACGACTGTCCGCAAAGTCTTTAGTACTTTCCAAATGTGTGTTCAGTAGACACAGAGACACGTCTCCAATGCTAACCTATATATCAATTCAATTGATTATCTCATAAACAAAACTCCTGAGTTTGTGGTCAAAAACTGATACCAACTCTTGTCTTAAGCAGATTGCGACCCATGATTGAGTTGGCGAACCCAATCACCTGATTGTCAATGAGTTTAACGTACTTCTTGTGGACGAGAGTGAGTGTGTAATACTTGACAATCTGGTTGTTCCCGGAGAGGAACTCATAGTCAGGAAGGCTTTGCCGCAGAATCGCTTCCGACGTGTGAATCACTTCCTGTAAGAACACAATCAAAGCGTTCGCTTCTTTGATATGTTTGGCCACCGCTTCGGTCCGCAGCCGAAGGTTCTTCTCATCGATTCCGTCGATATTCCAACAAATGAACCGAAAGTCCTTCAGATCTTTCACATCGATGTCAACAGACGGCTCGCACGAAGACGACTGCGAGTTGTCTTCAATCGCTTTGCTGTAAATTCAGACACAAATCAATTAGTCCATCGCAAAGACAATTACCATCACATCAAGCGATGATCAACTGGTGGTGCAGTGGAAGTCCTCTGCCATCACATCGCGCGGCACTCATAAGAGACTCACGTTTTTGTCGGCGACTCGAAGACCACATTACAGTCGCTGTCGTCGCTGTCATTGAGGGTCACCTCATCGATGGTGCGCTTGTGGGCCGTCTGGCCGTCCATTGAGTCCAAGTAGTCGTTGACAGACCTCTGGAGATCCCAATCCCTGTCCTGCAGGAAGAACTGCGCCAAAGCTTCGTCCGTTTGTGTCAATCGCACGAACTCTTCGACTCTCTTCTGGCAGTTCTCGTCGTTTATCTCAAACCCGTGGCCATCGCTGGCGGCCATTGTCTCTCCCACTCGGGTGGCGACCGATCGCTGCAATCAATGGTCACTTCGGATGTGTTTATCAATTGCTTTGAATTGTCACTCAAATTAGTGTTCATTTGAGAAATACAAACGTTTTTACAGTTTTGTGTCAAACATATGGTCTGTTCAGAGATAACGTTATCGTATTAGTGGGCAAACCCTTACTGTCATAAATGATTAACTCATTTAAAATCATGTTATTTATAATAAATACATTAAATCTTAAGATAAACTCCTATTTAACAAACTTTTGTGTCAATCAAATCTTTTCTAAAACATAAAATCATTTTATTTATAATATAGTTATGTATTTGATTGAATGCAAAAAAGTTTGAAACAAATTTAATGTTTACGTAATTTGTTTGCACATTATGTACAGTCTATGTCTTCAGTGAATAATTGAATTCATTTTGAACTCAATTACTCTTAAATACTATTAAATCAATTCAAATAACTTTGACTACACTATAGACCGCACTATAGAAGCCTATTATGAATACATTACACAACTTATGGACACTCTATCTGTTTGTCACTCATATATACCACTCATATGTCGTTCACTATAACGAGAGTCGACTGTATTGTCGATCATATGTTGTGTTGTTTTGATAAACGAGTGATTGATTTGTGGATCAAATAAGTGGTCAATAATGAGCCAAATCTACGCCAAAGACTCGTTTGACAGGTTTGGCGACGATTTGGCCGAAGTATTGCTCAGTTGTCTGCCCCTCGACCTCAAGATATCCTCGGAATGTGTGTCCAGACAGTGGAGAAGACTTGTGTTCAGAAGACACCATCGCTTCCATCTCTTGAGACATGAGTTGAAGTCACAGAAGTGGTCGCAACTCTTCATCAGGTCATACGTCCATCAGATGCAGACCTTTGACCTCAACCTCGAGATCTTGCAGTCGTTGCTCCAGAAGTGGACCCAATTGACTGAACTCTCGATTGACACGAACTGTCTCTGCGGTGAAGGCCTTCTGGAAGTGTTGTGTCGACTCCACGAAGACGACTGTCTCTCAAGAATCAAACGCTTAGACCTCAGAGTGAAGGAAGACGTGGACGAAGAGGTGTTGCGGCGATTCAGTGGACTCTTCGGCCAATCCCTGTCCCACATCTGCATCAGCGGTCTGTCCGAAGAGCGTCTGTCGCGAGTCCTCTCATTCTTCGGCCATAACTTGCGTTCAATTGATTTGAAACACAATTTGCGGTCACTTTTGATGGCTTGCGAAGAGTCGCAGCAAAAGGTGTTTCTCAACAAATTGGACACAATTTCGGTGATAAACCCGTCGACCGATGACTTGCAGCTCATGAGCGCTATATATGGGCCACAAGTGAGACAATTGAGTCTTAGTTTTGACCAACACTTCAAACACAGCATCAAAGATACACTCAAATTCGTGGCAAACCTCGAGAACCTCGAGATCTTAAGACTGGATTCGGAGCTCTTTTACGTCAAACAAAACGACTTCAATGAACACAATAACCACTATTTGATTGATTCAAGTCTGGAGGCGATTGGCCACAAGTGCCGGCGCTTACACACACTCGAAGTCTGCATATTCGGTGATCTCATTAGCGACCACTTCCTCCGGATCTTTGGGCGCCATTTCGAGCGTCTGTCGCGTCTGGATCTGTCTCTTTGGGACATCGGAGACAAGTCCTTCCAAACGGTCGACTCGTTTGGATTCAGCGCACAGAACGGCCAACACTTGCATCGATTGAGTCTTATGTTTGAAGCCTTATGTGACGACCATTTGGAGGAAATCCACGAATTTATGCCTAATTTAAGTGCAATTAAACTCAATTCGGATCAACACTTGACGGACAGGTGTTTAAGACATTTGTCGAAATTACCGCATTTGCGGACAATTGAATTGGAGGGCAATATAGACATGAATTACCTGACCATTGATGGCGTTATTGAGTTCATCGCCAGTTGTCCGTCGATCACAACCATTGACATCGAGTTCGCCAACGATTTGAATGAAATTAGTTATGATGTGTGGGAAGTGTTGGCTCTCTTGAGACCACAAATCAATTTCTTCATATCGTTTCACGACTCGGAGGACCGCTATAGAGATGTCTGCGTTTATGTGAACAATAAAAACAATCTTCACGTCTACAAGATTTAGTGGACAACCACTCGGGAAGTCATACTTAGTGCCAAAGTATGGCTGTATTTGATTGTTATGTTTTAGAAAATATTTTATTAACGAAAAGTTTGTTAAATAGGAGTTTATCTTAAGATTTAATGTATTTATTATAAATAAAGTGATTTTAAATTAATTTATGAATTATTTATTTCATGTTTGATTACAATTTGAGAAATAATTAATGAATGAAAGGCACAGACATTGAATTCAATACACAATTCAATGCAATAATAGATTTGTGTTTGAAATGAATTATAAAAGTTTTGAAAACTTTTTTTGAAAAATATTTGCAACAATAATTCAAAAGTTGTGAAAAAGTTGCAAAATTTTATGATTAGTGTCACAGAAGTCAGAGTCATCTCATAGTCTGCCTGAGAGTCCATTCCTCACGAGTATATCAGACATGAGTGAAGATAATCATAAAGACATCGAAGACAGCGACAAAAGCAAAGACACAAAACACAGCAACTCTTCGGCGTTGGATCAGAAGTCGGAGACCGGTGTCGATGTCGGGGTCGAGACAACCAGTACTCAAACGACGGGTCCGTCGATACCCCGGAGCGCAGAGACAGAGACCACACAATCATCTGAAGAG